TACTTATTGTTAGGGTACATGAAATAAATGTACCATGTTTTCGGAGTTACATTACCTTAAACATCCAACCCAACCCACAACAAAACCTTTGTTTCGCTTTTATTTTCAAATATTTGTTCAAAATCCTAAATTCTGTTTTAAGCACTTTTATAGATGAAATAAATCCTAGCTAACCATTAAGGAGATATTATAATAGTAATAACATTATCAACTTCATTTAGTTGTAATTAGATTTTTGGCCAGATATTCATAACTTCCTAACACTGTGTAGTGTCGTTTTCTAGATGTTAGTATAAAGTTAAAAGTTTATGTCTTTTTTATATTTATTTTATTTTTATATTTTATTAGAAGTATTGTTGTTTTAATGATGAATACTATGAGATAACTGAAGGACTACCAATGGGTATGCCCTTTTCCGGTATTCTATCTGATATTTTTCTAAATCATATCGAAGAACAACACATATTTTCACACAAAAATCCTTCTAAACATCACATTATCAAATGGATAAGATATGTAGACGATATCTTTTGTATATGGGGCAGTGACCAAGATCAATTGGATAATTTTCACTTTTATCTGAATAATTTACATAAAAACCTAAAATTCACTCTACAAATTGAAATTAATAGAAACATCAATTTCCTCGACCTAAACTTCGACTGTTCTTCTGGAAGTATAAAATATAACATCTTTAGAAAACCTTCCATGATATCTACAATAATACCTTACAATTCAGCACACCCTTTGTCTCAAAACCTTTCTAGTTTTCACTATTATATCAACAGAGCTCTAGACTATCCACTATCAAATGAAGATCTCGCCACTGAATTTAATTTTATACAACAATTGGCCATAGATAACGGGTACCCCTTAAACTGATAGACAGCCTGTTTAGTAAAATTTAAAAAAAGTTTTAGTAAAAACAAAGAGACCCTTTTTATATAAAACAAGAAAAAAAAACAATATACAAAGCTGTTCCATACAATTCCATTACTCATCAAGCAACGGAAATCTTCTAAATATAAGATAACGTTAGCTTTTAATAACAAAAACTATACTTAACATCTTATCCAACCACCACCTAAAAACCAACATTTTACAATAAAGTGGCATTTACAAAATCAATTGCACACAATGTCAATCTTCATAATATACAGGGTGTTTTAAAACAACGTTTAAATATTTATAGGGGTAGTGCTACAGGTGCTACAGTACAAAACAAGACGAAAAGAGTTAATCAACATGGGTCCGAAAATCAACCGTTTTCGTGATACAGGATGTTCAAATTTTTTGGGACTCTACGTTTTTTCTTTTAAACTGTAACTGCTACAGATTTGATAATTGGCAAATCGATACAGTATGAAACTGTCTCTTTTTGAGAGTAGTATGATGTTTCCATTGCTTCCAGTTAGTATAAGTTATTCCATTACAAAACGTTATGCCATTATTTACCAAAATTTGGCCATTACAAGGAGTAGGCTTTGCCTTACGTACAATCTGCTAACATACATTAATTTGACGTTTCGTTCAAATTACGAAATAACCAAACTTCAGTAATTTGATTTTGCGAAACCTGAAGTGAAATCGTTTGCAATGGTCTTCTATTCAAATGCTGAAATGAGCGATATGGTGTTTATGTACGGCCGTGCCAATGGAAATAGTTTGAGAGCACATCGTTTCTATGCTGAAACATTTCCCAATCGCCGGCTAACAGGGTTGCCAGACAATTCATGAAAACTACGGGCTACTTGAAAGAGTTCGGGCTTAGTTTGAACGTAGAATGAGAAACTGTATTGATGTTGCAGGTCGACATTTTGATGATTCAGTAAAAAGCTTCGTTTTGATTAGTATTAGTATTACGTTGTGTCAATTCAATTTTTGTAGTAATTTATTTTTAAAAATGTTTTTTGTTTCGGAAACCTTAAGGAGTACAATTTTTTTTTTCGAATTAATGTTGTTTAGAATTAAGCTATCTAACTAATTATTAAATAAAGTTTTCAATTTTCTGAAAAATAGTGGTATTTATTTTCATTTCCGGTCTAACCGGAAGCAATGGAAACATCATACTATTCTCAAAAACAGACAGTTTTATACTGTATCGTTTTGCCAAGTATCAAATCTGTAGTAGTTATAGTTTAAAAGAAAAAACGTAGAGTCCCAAAAAATTTTAACATTCTGTATCTCGAAAACAGTTGATTTTCGGACCCATGTTGATTAACACTTTTCGACTTGTTTTCGACTGTAGTACTACCCCTATAAATATTTAAACGTTGTTTTAAAACATCCTGTATAGGATAAACGGGACGCCAACTGGAGATACGCTTAAAAGAACATAAGAAAAAAGAAAACTCTAACATCTACAAGCACATTAACGAAACAAACCATATTATGGATTTCGAAGGAGTAGAATTAATCCACAAATGTGAAAAAAATTTTCGATTGAACCTTCTAGAGATGATGGAAATATAAACTACTAAACTACTCAACTCGAATTTAAATATATGCCTATATTTACATACTTAAAGTTAACTTAAAAATTAATTTTATTTAAATCTCGTAATATTACGTAATATCTGTAAAAACAGGTCTTCTTTTTCGTTTTTCGTGTTTTCATGTATCGTTTGACACACGTTTTAATTGTACGTTTATAAGTTCGTGTATCTGTGTTGTGTTATAATTTACTTATTTTATTTACATATAAGGGTTATTGTATTATAAGTATTATAACACTAAACTCATAAAACCTTTATGACATTTCACGTTCTAAGAAAAACAGTTTTTTCAACTTGACTGTAAGTATTTTATATAAAAAAAAAAAAAATGTTCAACAAAAAAACAAATTTGTAATCCTTTTTAATCATAGATTCGACTGATGATGGCTTTATAAGCCGAAACTAGTATCGAGTAAATAAAACAAGCGAGTGAGAAGTTGATCTATATTCATTTTCCTTTTAAAAAAATAATAGTTATTTATATTACAAGTGAAACCCAAAATGACACGAGTACTGTAATTATGCTCTAGCCCACGTGTGATATACAACATTTTATCTATGACTGCTAAAAATTACTAAAAAATCAATTTCTTTAGAAAAGTCTATTTGACATATGAAGGGGTCGGGAGAAAAAAGTGCCAAGCATCATTTTGGCCTAACCGAATTTAGCAGTGCTGTCTATGAGTAAATTGAACAAATTACAAGCAGCACTGTTTAGATTTCAATTATTGCCGTTAGATTGCTCTGTATTTGCATTGCATTTTATTACCTCAACTGGTTGTTTGCAAAGTTTTGGGGAAGACAGTGTCAAGCTCCTCATGAGAAATGGAGGGAAAGAGGAAATGTGTTAGAAATCTTAAAGATTATTATGAAAACCTAGAAGACTTGTATGAAGAATTTGATGACAGTGACAGCGATCCCAATTATTTAGCAACAAACCCTCCCTACACCAAAACTGTCATGTGGACCTGCATTTTACTGCAGGAAACTGTGGACCTATAACGTAGGTATCCATAACTGCACTTCTGGACAAGGTTTTATGTTCATGTGGGATGAATCAGTTGGAAAAAAGGGTAGTGATGAAATAGGAAGCTGTATTGTAAAGNCAAAGATTTTCGCAAAAATTTCGAAAACGAATCGATCAATTTAAAAAAAATAAATACTAACATGTAGTACCTTAAAAGACCTTTAAAATGAGGTATCACTTGACACCCCTTTCCATTTAAGATTTTTAAGGGGTTGGTTTCTGGCGGCGGGGGGTTGAAGTGAGTGAGTCAATTTTTGCATAAAAAGTTGTCCCCCTTGGTTTTATTCTTTACCTATTTCAGCGATTTTCTTTTTAAACTTTCGGATTTACAGAAATTGAGGTGGAAAGTTTTGAAATGAACACCCTGTATAAGGGTTATTGTATTATAACACTAAATTCATAAAACCTTTATGACATTTCACGTTCTAAGAAAAACAGTTTTTTCAACTTGACTAAGTATTTTATATAAAAAAACAAGAAATGTTCAACGAAAAAACAAATTTGTAATCCTTTTTAATCATAGATTCGACTGATGATGGCTTTATAAGCTGAAACTAGTATCGAGTAGATAAATCAAGCGAGTGAGAAGTTGATCTATATTCACTTTCCTTTTAAGAAAATAATAGTTATTTATATTACAAATGGGTTAGAAGCATAATTACTGTTTCTAACCCAAAATCACACGAGTACTGTAATTATGCTCTAGCCCACGTGTGATATACAACTAAATAATTATCTGTGACTGCTAAAAATTATTTAAAAATCAATTTCTTTAAAATGGTCTATTTTGACATTTATACAAATATTTTGAAATGATTGTTGACAATTTTGAATTAATGTCAGTTTCAACATGTTTACACATCTGGAATAAGTGTTTCGTAATGTAAAAACATAACAATCGATGTTTATAATAAACAGTATTGTTTCTCTTTAAATAGGTAGCACTTTTTCTTTTGTATTGTTGCTGGTTTCAATAAATTAAGTCTGTTCTGATTGGGCTAAAAATGCGTTACCTAATGAAATCAGTGCGGTAATGAACTTCATTACGTAACTCAAATCACCTCAAATAAGTGTGGTAATGATGACTTATCCAAGCAGTCGTAGATAAAATAAAATTATAATTGCCCATGAAGCACCGCCCTCTGTTATTGCCAAATCAAATATTATCGTAATTTCTGTAATTTACAAGTGTTTCACTTACGGTAATAAAAATGCAAATTTCGGTGTGATAAACAAATATTATTATCAGAATGCATTTATTGCAAATTAGTGACTCCTTTTATTACTATTACTGTAAATTCCATAAATTATAGTAAACTGAGATTATATTCTTTTCGGCGATAATAGATGGCGGGACTTGAATCGTTCAAAGAAAAATAATTTCATGAATTAAAAATAATTTTATAATAAAATTAATAAATAATAAAAATGAATTTAAGAATCTCATTACATTAAGATATATTTTAGTACATATTTCGATCATAATTATTCAATTAGACAGAGTAATTGGATAAAATGGTTATAAACCGCAAAGTGCCCCTAAATCTATCTGTGGAATAATCACTATTTACCACCTTTATTTCACGTATTATAATGAAAATTTTTTTTAACAATTGTTATTGGTTGCTAAATAATAAATAAATATAAACGGGATTAAAAGTGCATGTATAAATGGAAATGTTTTGAAAATATAAATAGAAACGCTTAAATTAAACTACAAATATTAAAACATGCAGTGCTTTTGTTTAAATAAAATTTTATGCATTAAACGAATCTAACCCAAAAAAGCTATAAATTCGTCTTTTTTATTTAATTTACGCATTGCGACAAAAAACGGCTGGTATCCCGGAAAAAATACAGCCCCATCAACAAAGTCCATTAAAAATAAAACAAAAACAAATGCCAAATCAATTTTTAACGGGGAAAAGCAAAAAGTTTGTACCGGAAATAAAAAGAATCGAGCAAGCGCAGTCGGACGCGCGGGTGCCGGTCTACCGATTTGCGATAACTGTACCTAACACTACTACCTATACATACACACCAACAATATTTTCATTGCAAACGACCTCACGCGTGTTAAACATTGATTGCACAACCGCCGAGGGGTGCGGTGATTGCGTTTCGAACCGAACCCGTTTATTATTTTCTCATTTTTTGCGTCGGATTGGTTTAAACAAAAAAGTTAAAAATAAACACCCTAAAAAGATTTCAAAAAAATTCCTTGAGAACTATAAGAGGACAAGGTCTTGGTGTTAAAAGCGGAATTTTTTGGTAAACACAGAACGAAGGGGAAAAGCATCAGGTAGCCGACAGAAGACGGTGGAGATAGGTTTTTCGTTTTTACACACACTCACACACACAGGTGGACGAGAAGAGAGTCACCACACGGATCGGTGCCGTGACCTCGTGGTGAAAGCCAAAAAAGGATGTTTACCTGCGCCAAAGAAGAGTGGGCAAACGAAAACAGCTGTAAGAGGCTCGAAGCACTGCCCCAGTATCGGCAACATACAGGATCTGTACGTGAACTCTTCAGCCAACGGAGCGACGACATGATTCCTTAACCATATCAGATTTTTTGCACCATTAACCCAATACATTGGTTCTAAAACATAATTTAAAAACATTATTAATTAAAAAAATTATTTACCACAAATAATTTCATTATTTCTTATCACTTCACCCTGAATAAAATAACTTTAAACATAACGGAAAGTAAAAAAATTCTTGAATAACTTTATTATTACAATGTACAGGTTCTAATCGAAGTGAAAGCTTTATAATATCTAATAAAAAAATGCCAATATAACTGTAACTAATTGAAATTAAAAAAATCTCGTACCGATTGACATTTTCACTTATACAGCAACCTAACAGTAACTGCATGTTTAACACATTAACATACGAAGGATTTTTTTTTATTTTAACGAAAGCAACACGTTTTCCAATATTTTAAAACTGAAGTCTTTGAACTTAATTTATTAGAATAATTAAATTTTTCATACCTGTATACAACTTCAACAAGCCATTGTAACTCTGCATATAAATAGGTCCGGAAAATAATATCATGGTGAGGAAGAGGGGCATGACAAAAGCCTGGACCAACCCTTCTTTTCGAAGACCCAGCAATTCCCATAGCGTCCTCTGGAAAAACGTGCATTTTTAGAAGACCATCCACAAGGTGTTATCGTCCGATTTCGACCGAGTGCATAAAAGATCTCTATTATCGTTTCAATATTAACCCAAACCGTCATCTATTCTTCGAAAATAAAAAAAAAATAGGGGCTGTGCTTTTACCCTTAGTTATTATTCAAAAATGGTGAATGTCGGTATTATTATTTATGTTAAGGAAAAGGTTTGAATAAATTTGTTAAAACTGAAAAAAGTTTCGTAGAAATATTTTTTTTTTACTTTCTCTGACGATTAAAAACCAAATTAAAAATGATATAATACAACAATAACAATAAGAAGTGATTTTTTATAAAAAAGTTTAGAAATTTTGTTGGGTAGAAGCACCGTTTGTGGCCACTGTACTATTTATGGCCATTTCAGAGGAAGTTGTTGCGCATTAAGATCCTAATAGACAATAGTTGAAAAGTAAGTGCATTACAGGGCTCTGTCAGACAATTTCAGAAACAATTTGAAAATGGTTTCCATGTTTTAGCTGATGTGTTGTGCACGAAAATCTTACAATTAGCAAAAACGGTAAGAGCAATGCACATTTAACTTTTATTATTTTTGGCGTCGTTTCATATTTAAGTGAACTATATGATAAATTGAGGTTAAGCATGTATTTGTTTACGTTGCCATAAGTACAGCGAATTTTGTGAAGTTTGCAAGTTATGGCCATGACGTGGCTATTCTGTGAAATTTGATGCTTTAATGGATTTTGAACAACTCTGTTTTATTTACAAGACTCTGTTACTATGGCAGAGAAAAATAAACAGAAACGGTTCCATTAAAAGTCTCCTAGGCGTTGAAGGCTGTATTAAATGGAATGCCTGTGCCACTCTTCGCAACAAATCTCGGAAAAGAGTCCAGTTGAATCGCCGCGTCACTGTGGACCTAATTCTGTTTTGGGAAAAGACTGCGAAAATGTATTAGTGGATTGGGTGTTGAATTATGCTAGTCTGTGTCTTCTATACTCAGCCAAGGAAACCGTAGATTATTCCAATATCAAAACTCCATTTTCCAACAATAAAAAAAAGTGGTTTACTTCTTTCCTAAATAGACATCCTGTTCTCTCCCAGAAGCACTACTACCATTTCAAACTCCCAAGAATGTTTGCCTCGTCAACTAGAAGGCTTATCCTCCGAAAAAGAGAATGAAGCTGTTGCTCAACAATTACAGGATTTGTACTTCACAGGCAGAGCTGAAAGCGTTCATCCATCAACATCATCAACGTCGAATATACTTGCCACGCCTAAACGATTTCTTGCCTCAGTGTTCAATGATGTCATTCCTTGGCCACACATAAACCGACAGTCCGAAAACAGAAGAAAGAATATACTCCAAGCGTTGTTACGTCTGACAAATGGGTGGAATATTTTGATCTCAAAGAGAAAGAGAAGAAAATTAAAGAAGAGCTGAAGATGGAGAGAAAGAAGAAATGGGAAATGCAGAAAAATAAAGTAAAGGAAGCGCAGAAGGCAAATAAAAAGAAGAAGACAAAGGAAAACTGTTTAGAAGAAGAGGAGGAAGACGAGTGGAATAAAAGCGGGAACAGCTTATACGATGTTGACGATATTGAGATAGATAATCAAGAAACCATTGATATGGAGTTACAGACCTGCAGGAAGGTGATTACGTTTTGGCTTCATTTAAGAGCGGTTCATTACAAGTATGTTGCAAAAATTTTATGTTGAATGACGATGAGTTTGAAGTACAATGTCTGAAAAGCTTAGATCAGACTAGGACACATTGCAAAGTGTTAGACAATAACAAATGTGCCATTACAAAGGAAGAAATCCTTGGAACACTTCAACAAGAGTTAACAAACACTATTTTGAATTTTTTTCTTGCATGTATTCCAATTTTTAACTAAGATACCGAATTTTAAAAGTTGTAGAGTACTAAATGTGACCATAACAGGTTTCTGTAGCCTAAGTAATTGTGTGAGGTTTGTACTATTTGTGCCGCGACTTTTGATCATTTATTCAGAAAGTAGTCGCGTAGACAATGCTGAGTCCGTATTCTGTTATGGAGTTTACCAGGTTTTTGTGGTACATCAAAACTAGGAGGCTTTTGAGTAATACATGGGATCTGATGGTTTTGCTGCGCTATCCATTCTTGATGCCAATCAGAGTAAATTCTTTATCTGTGGTAGTGGTTGCTGTTTTGATTGGTAGCTTTCTAGATTGGAGGTGGCTGTGATTGGCATCCTCAATCTCCTCGTGTATTAGTAGGTTAGCTGCTCATGGCTTTCTTCTACCCACTCGTGAGCTTTGTAGGTGGTACAGGGTTCCGTAATAAAAATATTGTTAAAACATTTATCAATTGGGGTAGCTTTCACAGTTTCCCAGGCATATGATATGTTGTATATAGCATCTCGAAGTGTAATTGATTTGCAAAACTGGAAAGGAGCATTGTTGTCTTTTGCGACCAGATCCATCATTACAATTTTTCTGTACAACTTCTTCACTGTTTCAATTACGCCTCGATCCATGGGTTGAATTAGGGCGATCACATTTGGCGGAAGATACAAAACTGTGATATTCCCATTCTCAGCTGACAACATTTCAACTGGCAGATGAGATGGCGCATTATCAAGAAGCAATACTGTTTTTTGACGGAGACCTTTGGCGTCCATATATTTTTTTACGTGTGGAACAAATTTATTTTTAAACCACATTTCAAAAATGTCTCCTGTCATCCATGCAAAACGGTTCTTATATTATTCGAATGGGAGTTTTTTACATCTTTTAAAGTTCTATGCGACTTTGACTTCCCTACTACAGCTAATTTTAGCTTATCCTCTCCAGAAGCATTTGGGCAACACAACACTGTAATCCAATCTTTACTAATTTTGCACGCCAATAGAGGCGAGTCTCATCAGGATTGTATATTTGGGCAGGTACTAAACCCCTCTCTTTAATAACGTTTGATAACGTATCACAAAAAATTATAGCCTCAACTTCGTCAGCACTAGGCTCTCCTTGAATTTGTAATTCTCTAATTCCATGCCTTTCTTTAAAACGTCGCAAGCAACCTGTTGAAAGTGTACGTCTTTCGGTGATTTGTAACTTTTCTGCAAAGTATTGTGTTTTAGCTAACACATACAGACCGGACCTTGGCTCTCCTAGTGCTCTTTGCTAAAAAAATCACTTCACCATTACATTTTCCAGTTGCTCACTCTTTGAACCTTTCATTGTTTTCCTATGTAAAGGGCGAGCTGATGTTTCACTCATAGAAACAAATGTTTCCAATTTGGGCTGCAGTTTCACTAAATCGCGTACGATTTGTTGTCCAACTATATATTCGTCAGCCAGCAAAGTGACACTTTTACAATGTTCACGTCTTTTAATAATTTCAAATTTTTTTCAAAGCCATTCCACAGTACATTTAGTAACCCCTGCGATTATTCTCATCGTATTATTGAGCTGAGCTTCGATTTCGTGGACATGAGGACTATTAAGCCACACTGGTGCATAATATTCAGCGGTTGAAAATACGGGGCTCAGGGCTGTTGAGCGCAGAGTGGAAACCGACGATCCCAGGATGTTCTACATAGCTTTTGTATAATATTGTTCCTCGTCTTTAGTTTCTCAGCTATTTTAATCATATGTTCTTTGAATGAGGGCGTTCTATCAAGTCTAAAGCCTAGGTATTTTGGTGTTTTGTTGTAAGTAAGCCATGTGTTCTCGAATTTTATTCTAAGCTCTCTGTCAACGAGTTTAATGCTAGATGAAATCATGTTAGCTTTGCTAGCATTTGGTTGAAGACGACATTTTCGGCTGGATGTGGAAATTATAACACATACTTTTAGCACGATTTGCTAATAGCTGCGAAAAAAGTTATAAATATATAAGTGTCGAAGGCTGTTTTGCAAGAGTTTAGAATTTACTCAGTTAATTAACAATGAAAATGAATTGTTAATAACTGAATTGAATTATGAATTGTTTTACTCTTTCGGCGCTAAATAGTGCAGTTTGTTTCTAATGAACTTTAATGATTGTGATAAAAGCAGAATAAGGAGCAACGTAGTTGATATGTAACTAAGTAAGTCATTATAAAAAAGATCCTAGGCAACTGTACTAAGATTACTTTCGTTTAAATATTACTACGTTTAAACTAAGATTACTTTCAAATATTACTACGCTATTACATCCGGTCAGAACGAAATTACCTATTGGTCTTTAGAGTAATTCGATAAATAGCCAAAGGATTCTAAAAAAGTAAGGTCGTTACCTTACTTGAAGTTTTGATAAAATTTTCGATGTTGCAATTTTCATCGATAACTTTCAAAATTCGCTATAAAATTAATTTCTTGTATGATCCTTGTGAAAATATCACCAATTATTAATTAAAGTATCCTCTTTTGAATGCAAAAATCCGTTTTGAAAAATCACATTTAGTTCTTGAGAAATAAATTTTTGAAATAATCGAAAATTTTTTCGAATTTACAATTTTCGCAGATTAAGTTTTAAAAATTCGTATAAAATCCATTTCTTGGAATATGAGTATGAAAATTTCCCAAAGTGTTAATAAGAGTGTCTTCTTTCCAATGAACCAACCCGTTTTGAAAAATAACTTTTAGTTTTTGAGAAAACAATATTTGAAGTTTTGATAAAATTTTCGATGTTGCAATTTTCATCGATAACTTGCAAAATTCGCTATAAAATTAATTTCTTGAAGGATCCTTGTGGAAATATCATCAATTATTAATTAAAGTATCCCCTCTTTAATGCAAAAAGCCGTTTTGAAAAATCGCATTTAGTTTTTGACAAATAAATTTTTGAAATGAACGACAATTGTTTCGAATTTTGTAATTTTCGCCGATATAAGTTTTAAAAATTCGTATAAAATCCAGTTCTTGGAATATGAGTATGAAAATTTCCCAAAGTGTTAATAAGAGCGTCTTCTTTCCAATGAACCAACCCGTTTTGAAAAATTGCTTTTAGTTTTTGAGAAAACAATATTTGATGTTTTGATAAAATTTCGATGTTGCAATTTTCATCGATAACTTGCAAAATTTGCTATAAAATTCATTTTTTGAACGATCCTTGCATAAATATCACCAATTATTAACTAAAGTATCCTCTTTTTAATGCAACAAGCCGTTTTAAAAAATCACATTCAGTTCTTGAGAAATAAATTTTTGAAATGTTTGAAAATTTTTTCGAATTTTGCAATTTTCGCCGATTAAGTTTTAAAAATTCGTATAAAATCCATTTCGTGGAATATGAGTATGAAAATTGCCCTAAGTGTTAATAAAAGTGTCCTCTTTCCAATGAACCAACCTGTTTTGAAAAATAGTTTTTCGGTTTTGAGAAAACAATATTTGAAATTTTGATAAAATTTTCGATGTTGCAATTTTCGTCGATAACTTGCAAAATTCGCTATAAAATTAATTTCTTGAAGGATCCTTGTGGAAATATCACCAATTATTAATTAAAGTATCCTCTTTTTAATGCAAAAAGCCGTTTTGAAAAATCACTTTTAGTTCTTGAGAAATAAATTTTTGAAATAATCGACAATTTTTTCGAATTTTGCAATTTTCGCCGATTAAGTTTTAAAAATTCGTATAAAATCCATTTCTTGGAATATGAGTATGAAAATTTCCCAAAGTGTTAATAAAAGTGTCCTCTTTCCAATGAACCAACCCGTTTTGAAAAATAACTTTTAGTTTTTGAGAAAACAATATTTGAAGTTTTGATAAAATTTTCGATGTTGCAATTTTCATCGATAACTTGCAAAATTCGCTATAAAATTAATTTCTTGAAGGATCTTGTGGAAATATCACCAATTATTAATTAAAGTATCCCCTTTTTAATGCAAAAAGCCGTTTTGAAAAATCGCATTTAGTTTTTGACAAATAAATTTTTGAAATGAACGACAATTGTTTCGAATTTTGTAATTTTCGCCGATATAAGTTTTAAATATTCGCATAAGATTCATTTCTTCGAATGTGAGTATGAAAATTTCCCACAATGTTAATAAAAGTGTCCTCTTCCCAATGAACCAACCCGTTTTGAAAATAGTTTTTAGTTTTTGAGAAAACAATATTTGAAGTTTTGATAAAATTTTCGATGTTGCAATTTTCATCAATAACTTTCAAAATTCGATATAAAATTTATTTCTTAAAGGATCCTTGTGGAAATATCGCCAATTTTTAATTAAAGTATCCTCTTTTACAGTTGCTTCGTTCATTATATCAGCATCAAGAAAGTTCATTTTGTATCTTATCAGCTTTCTTATTAATTTCATTTTTATTCAAATATCGCAATAATGTGGCAATGTAGAGTATCTTTAGAAATGCATCAGAAATTATAACCATAATGGCAAGTTTATATTGAGACCATTGAGACTCAAATGAAATAAAACCTTGCAGACTCCTCTCTTAATCACAAACTTACTTTTTTTAATGAATTAACAAAAAGAACCTTAATATTTCAGTTTTAACGAATTCATTTGTATTATTATAGTTTTCTGATATCATTTATAACAAAGGAAGTGATAGTAAGAACCGAAAAAAAATAACAAGTTATATTTAATTCATTATTTACTCTGTCTAAATTTAGACTTCACACGAAGATTCTTATTGGTAAATATAAAAAGTTTAACCGGTTTGGTTAATTGTAGGCGCACGTCCTGCGCAAAAAATAAGTAATGAAAGAAGAAAATACATCTTCTCTTCTTACATATATGTGTAAACAGAGATCTTTTATGAAACTCAATGTTACCGGTACCGAAAACGGACGATACACAAACGGACTTGGTGATTGACGGTGGAATTTTACCTTTTCCAACGCAGCCTTATTAACCGCAAAGTATACGAACGCAGGGGAAATGAGCACTACAATAAAAACGCTCAGGAATCGCTTCTTTATTGTGGCCGAGTGGTCCCTGAAATACAATCGGGTTTTGCAGTTTTATTTTTAAATCGATAGGCGCGACCGGCGGCGTCGAAACGCCACCACCACCGTACAACGGTGAACGGGGTCCCCGCGTCGTTCAGTGCGTACAACAATTTGCGGAATTTCGCCGCATATCGATAATATAATTAATTGTGTGTGCGCATTTTCCCACGGTTAACTACAGTCGACCAAACCGAATTTACTTTATTGGGTTGTATGCATTTTGTGGTCGGGATGTGAAAACCGAGATTACCCGAACACGAATCCAATCGTTTTTCAGATTTCGATAAGATAACCAACTGAATATTAAGTTATATTTAAAATATAGGGTGAGTTATAAAAATGTGTAGGTTCTTAAAAAACATACATATTTTAAATTAATCATATCTCTTTTTGTTATTGTTTCATCTGGTGAATATTAATAGTTAGACAACATACAGGATATACAGAAGTGTTCCAGAATTTTACTACTTTAGGTGTGTATTCTTCAGCACAAAATAAACAATAAAGTTCATATAAATATATGTCTCAAAGTAATTTATTACCGAGATATTAAAAATGAAAAATTTTAATTTGCCAATGAAGCGGTCAGAATAAATGTTCAAAATGCTTCCCGTTTTGTTGAATGCAACATTGAGCACGATGAATGCACGCTTCTATGGCAAGTCTTATACCATCAGAACAGCCATGTAACTGCTCCAAAATTAAGTTTTGACGAGCATGCTCAAGCTGTGGGGGCCTGGGTGAGCCGAAACATTTACGCACTGAAACGGTTCCTCCTGAAACTGCGAGAATGGCATACTATGCTTTAGTCCACTCGCTTTTGACATATTGTATATTGGCATGGGGAAATACTCCAGCTAGTAGTCATATTTTCAAGCTCCAGCGTAGAGCTATCCGTGTGCTTGGTGGGGTCGGTTTTACGGAGAACTATTCCATCAGAATTTATATTGGAAGCAATTTTATATGCCAATAAAAATAAACACTCCTATGATATCTCTTCTAAGTTTCATCATTATGACACGAGAGGCATGATATTCGGAGTAATTTTTGCAGATTACAAAAGTCTCAACGGGGCCCGATATATACGCCCCAGCAACTGTTTAATCGCTTACCGCTTCACGCGAGAAGTCTCTCAATTGACTCTTTGAAGCGGCGTTTAAAACCATTTTTATTATGCGGCGCTTTCTATTCTGTTGAGGAATTCCTAAACACAGAATGTTGTAAAATATGATGTAGGTAAAAGTAAAAACTTTTTGAGAAATAATAAAATGTTTAATTCAATTCAAGCAAACATGTTTCGAAAAATATAACTGAACATGAAACATTAGTTTCGAAAAATGTAACTGAAGATGAAACATTAGTTTCGAAACATGTTTGCTTGAATTGAATTAAACATTTTATTATTTCTCAAAAAGTTTTTACTTTTACCTACATCATGTTTTATTATATTAGAGAAATATGGAGAATTTCATCCCATTTACAGAATGTTGTGTCTGAATTGTAATTGTAACTGCTTTCGTAACTATGTAATTTTTTGTCAATTTGTAATTATACAGGGTGTCTCACGTAACTGGTTCGTTAGAACTTTTTTAGGTTCCAGTATTCGTACAGTTTTGAAATTTTGGTAGTATGGATTGTTCAGTCGAAACTACTATCTAAAATATTTTCAAGATGGCTGCCACTTCCGGTCTACCGGAAGTAGACCATAACTTCGTTATTTTAAGTGGAATGATAGTTTTTATTGCACCTATTAATTATACGTAAAAAAATATGTTGACTTTCATAAAAGTTAGTGGTACCTAGCGTTTTTCGTTTCCGAGTTATTTTGATTTTAAGGTTTTTTTGGCAAATTTCACCATGCTCTTTAAAACCCTATATCCCAGCCAACGTTCATTGAAAAAAGCTCTAAATTGGCACGATTACTCTTCAGATGCTCTCAAATAGATTGTCATATATTGTATCGGAGTATCTTATACAGGATGGTCAAAAACTGAATTCCCGTTTCTCCATATTCAATGAGGAGAAAGTCGATAATTTTAAATAGAACGACCCATATTTTATTAGCCTACACGAAAGGGAATTTAATTCTCTACAATTTATCTATAAACATTCCTATACCTATTTATTGTAGTTTCTCTCATATTCGTAAATTTATCAAAACATGCCGGAAATGCAGGAAACCGTTTGTATTTTTATTAGAAGGCCATGACATTTTGACAGTTTTTTGTTTAATTTATTTCTATTATTATTGGTACTATTAACTACGATTGATAATTTTTTAGTTTACTAGCTTTTACTTACCAAAAATAACAAACAGAAGATCAAATAAATGAAACTATTAAAACAAAAAGTTAATGACAAAAATTAGATTTGAATAAAAATATAAATTTATAATGTAAATTTCTTATTAAATTGAATTTGGAAATGCAATAAAATACGTTAAATTATTTATTTCGTTGTCTTCATCACTGGTGACCGGAAATATGCGATTTCTTTTGGTCTCGATATATCCAGAACTAATAAATTCTTAATCTAATTATCAATTTTTTGCATCTCTCATTAAGTGTTCGACACGTCTTGTCCGAAAGTTTATTACATTCGCCATCAATACAAAATAAATTTCAAATATCGGCGTTGGAATAATTTACCATGATGTTCAATAACTTACACCCGTCGTCAAATGTAACTAATGGCAACAATAATACAAACATGGACCAAAAACTGTCAACATTAAATAGCTTTCTAATAAAAAAAACCTGCATTTCATGCATGTTTTAATAAATATCGCAATATGAGGTAAACTACAATAAATAGGTATGGGAATGTGTATAGGTAATTTGTAAAGAATTAAATTTTCTTCCTGATAGCCTAAAAAAATATGGGGCGTTCTATTTCAAATTTTCGACTTTCTCGCTATTGAATAAGGAGAAACAGTAATTCAATTTTTGACCACCCTGTATAAGATACTCCGATACAACAAATGGCAATCTATTTGACAACATCTGAAGAGTAATCGTGCCAAAGTAGATCTTTTTTGAATGAACTTTGGCTGAGATTTGGAGTTTTAAAGAGCATGTTGAAATTTACCAAAAAAAGTTTAAAACCAAAATAACTCGAAAACAAAAAACGCTAGGTACCAATAACATTTATCAAAGTCAACCTATTTTTTACGTACAATTAAACTGTGTAATAAAAACTATAGCATTCCATTTAAAATAGCGAAGTTATGGTCTACTTCCGGTCTACCGGAAGTAGACCATAAGTAGACCATTTCGGCCATCTTGAAAATGTTTTAGATCGAAAGTTCCGAATGTACAACCCATGCTACCAAAATTTCAAATCTCTACGAATAGTGGAAGATGAAAAAGTTCTAACGAACCAGTTACGTGAGACACCCTGTATAATATATGTATTTTTTTGTTAATACTAAGTAATCCATGACGAGTGTAAAGAAAGATATCTTAAAACACAATAAAATGAATTTGAATTACTGCGGCTTCCACGATGCTGATTTCTGAGCTCTTCTTGGGTGCCAATAGACGTAGAGTAAACCATAGATTTCATCCAGCCCCACACAAAATAATCTAATGGTGTTAGATCAAGACACCGTGGCGGCCATTTGAACGGTCCGTTTCGACCAATCCATCGGTTACCATTTGCTCTAGAATCTCTGCCTATTGGCAATCGGAATGTCTTCTAGTAGCTCATACAAGTTATTTTGCAAAAAATTCAAGTAAGATATTAGCTTGGGTGGTAAAAAGAAAGGGCCGATGGGATTGTTACCAAGAAGACCACACCAGATATTTGAGGAGAAAGTATGTTGGTAATAAGTAGAAGCAGTCGTATGATTTTTTTCGTGCCAAGTATGGGTGTTTCGAAAATTAATAATCCCGTTTCTATAAAACAAGATTCGCCAGTAACTAGGAGGCAGCTTAGGAAGTTAAGGTTTCATGTACATTGTCGAATTAACCACTGGCAGAAATTTCTGCGCTTGTTATAGTCTTCTGGTAATAAATCTTGCACATGTATAACGTGATATGGATACAACTGTTACTTTTGTATTGAAGTAACAATCTTATGGTGCTAGTACTAGGAGATAACTGAACAGTATCGAGTATCAATTCTTCAACGTTAGCAGTTTGTCGAAATCTTTCCTGGCCAGCGTTTATTCGTGTAGGTTTTAGCGTGCTAGTTTTCCTAAGACGTCTTTCAATAACTTCAAACGTTTTACGATCTGGTATCCTTCTAGTAGAAAATTTTTCACGGTACCTTCGAACAGCAGCAGCTCCATTTTTATGTACTTGGTCATAAATTAACAACATGTCTGTTTAAATGTCAATTGTCTGTTATAAATAATAAAAAATTAAATTTTTCGTACAGCACTAGAAAAACCACTACACCAAACAGTGTTAAGCACTAATTAACACATTTAATAGTAGATATTTAATCATCTGTTAAGCAAAAAAGCAATATGCGATTGTTGTCCATGGCTACTTAATTAACGCAATACTTTCAGATATTTCACTTCAACTTTAAATATATCGGTAATAAATTAATTTTTAATATGTTTGTATGAACTTTATTGTTTATTTTGTGTTGAAGAGCATCCCTAAAATAGTGCCGTGCAATTCTGAAACACCCGGTATATCTAAGTAAATTTCGCACATTTTTACAACTTATCCTGTATAAGCCCTAATATAAACAATAATACAGAATACTAAAACTTTCAATATTAATTACAGACATTCCTATCATTAATTGATTATTACTTTTTTTTACAAGTTAAACCAACAATAAAATATAATATTATAATTAATTTTTGCCTGTTCTTTGTATCTTTCAAACCAAATTTTGCTTCAATAATCTTTTTATACTCACGTGGGATTAAACAAACCCTACACTTATTAATTTGGCGTGCAGGAACGCCTTAGATCTTACCCTTAAACGATTATAGAACGAGATAAGACATGTATGCGACCAATTTGA